CTGTCTGGGAGAGCACCCCGCGCCACTTCTACCCATCCGTCATACTTACACACCGACACATCTTACACCGGCGGGGTTGTGTTCCTCTCTCTCTGACTGAAATCAATACGACAGACTTCTGATATCGGCTTTTGATGATGAATGGGCGGGATGAGAGCAAAGGTAAAACGGTCGGTCTCACCAAGGAGGTTCTTAGGCCCGCGGAGATGCTCTTACATGCCATAAAGCCGAGTTTATATAAGCGTGCCTTTCATGATGGAAGGACAACCAAACAAAAAATAGTACAGACCATACGGTACTTGACCCTTAAGATTAAGGGTACACCAAACGATATATAAACCATTCTACTTGGTTTTGATGTAGCCTGGTACCCACAGACCCAGCACAGGACGTGATCGTATGTGTTATACCAATTAAGGGTCCACAGTTTTGTTTAAACCAATATTTATTCATGAGAAGATCAAATCGACCTGCAGGCCACTTTTCATTGAGGTCATGAAGGAAGAGGGAAGGAACAAAATGCACAACAAAGATAGTGCAATACACAACATTTGCGTCATTTTAAGTCTTGATACATGCAGTGCCATGTCAAGCCTTGCTTACCAGACTATCAATGTTTTTCCGCCTTAATGACAGATTCACATTGTGTAGTCATGGCGATGGAATTGCACTAAGTTTACCCGGTTTCCAGCAGACTAACTTCGCTGGCAGAAAACACAGTTAGCCATGGGAGTTTGGTGTCTGGTTTGCCCGTACAGTTAGGAGTTCCGCGTGCTCGCTCCTCAGGCGAATTTAATATCGACCCTTCTACGATCTCTTAGAAGGCCTGGTGGAGGCTAGCGTCTGGCACATAATTCTCTGATTCAACAGAGGTTTCATGGCACTCGAACAGAGGTCATACACGGTTTACTACGCCCGGAAGGACACTGGGCTCACCCCATGGTTAACTCACCGTGTAATCTCGACAGGTTTAATCTGCTAAATGTATTTGGCAGAACAGTAAATGTCAGAAACACATCTGTCATTGGCGGGGCAGAACATCGGCGGATCCCTAGACTATTCAAACATCACTTAAAGGGCGTGGGGAAGACACAAACCTGCATGTGTGCAGATCTAGGGTAACGCGAACGAATGATTGTTTTTCGCACTGCCTAAATCATGCACAAGAAAACTGTTACTCAAACCACTGGATAGCGTTTGATCCATTGAAAACTGTCAGACGTTTCAAGTAGCATTCACTAGTGACGGACGAAACGTAGTGGATGCTACTTGAAACGTCTGACAGCTTTCAAACTCCATTCTGCGGCTTGAGGAACTGTTTTATTTTGTGTGAGTGTATCTCATTACCTGGATGTCAACCCTTCATCGACGTGCCTGAATCATGATTTTAGAAAGAATGGGTGCTTCAGGGTCAGAGAATGCATGATGGGTATTTAGAGTTCACTGTTTACTGTCTTACAGTCTCAGGATGACAGTCTCTCCGCGTTAGGACAGGTATGAGACGGCCCCAAGCCTAACAACGTACCGAGAATCCTGACTTTCCGGCCTCGTCAACAGGACAGCAGATACTGTGATGACGACGACTCCTATCACCAACATCGCAGCGGCTGCAACAAGGATATTCCTCGTCTGTGATTTTCCCCGGAAACTCGTCACATGTTGGCGCTTCGCCTCTGGATCTGTCCCCGCCTCGCCCTCCTTGCCCGCCATTTTTATATTTCCCCGTCCTTCCTTCGCAACACAACTTCTTGTCTGGACCTTGGAACAAGTTTTCACCAGGTGATTTATAGTACCTTGCGTATATGTACCTGTTGACAAGCACCTGATTTTGGCCACGCCCCCTTTGGGGGGATGTGTTCCAAATATGGTACCAATACCCCGGCTCTCCTGGGCGGACCGAGCATCTTCTAAAAACCGGCTGGGATTTTGATACTGCCTGTTTTTGAGCTGTTTTCTGATTGCTATCTAGCCTCTACAAGGCGTTGAAAGTGGCTATAAAGAGCAGAAATTGGCTAAATAGACAGATAACATGCCAGGGGAGGCGGCAAATACTCCTTTGGCTTATCCAAATCAACTGGCATGTTATCATCTGTCTATTTGGCCAATTTCTGCTCTTTCCAGCCACTTCTGAAGCTTGGTAGAGGCTAATTGCTACCATGTTCTGATGGGTCCCGCTGTCTACAACATCGGCTCCTTGTAAGAAGGAAGTTGCTTCGATCCAAATTCAGAGATCCATCGAGGCAATCCAGGACACGCGGGCGTTCACCTCGCACTAGAGCTAAATTCAAACGCTCTTAACGTAACTAACGGAGGACAAGATCATATTATAAACGCACTTACTGACTACTGCCGTGTTGCACATGTTAAGATAGGAGGCGAAAGAGACAGAAAATGACACTCAAAGGCGTATGCGCTCAATGCACTTGTTGGAGTGTTGCGCGCGACTTCCTGAGTGAGATGTTTTGAACAGCACACACGTGCGCAGCGGTGTAGCCAGCCAAAAAGCCACGGGTCCTGCCAGGAGGCATTCTAAGAAAATCTCCCCAAGGTCGGCTGTGCAACGCAACGAAATCACATACACATGTCAGTATCAGTAAATATGGAACCCGGCAAAGCAAAGCCATCCCTGTACAATCTCCTATAACCATGGACGCCTACCAGGAACAACAACAACTAACCAACTAATCCGCAAGTTTGAACAACAAACCAAATAAAGAACAGACCGTAGAAAAACTGTTTCAAAACATTTGCCATGAAGTGACTTCAGTGCCACCTGACTGGTTCCCACATTGACAACACTGCCGCCCCACTAACATACACACAAGACTTTAGACCGAGGGTCCCGGCCAGTCAAACAGATCCACACATGACAGAAATACTGATCCATGATGGCAAATACATCAATATACATTTTTATATGCTCCCTATGCTCTTCCCGATTCATTTACGCAGTGTAATTGGTACTTCTCATCCTCTGAATTAAACAGAGATGACAACCATCCGTAGCTTCTAGGGTTATGGTGCTAAACCGTATCCAAACATACATTACAAACACGAAATACTACAATCATACATACCAATGCTAACATAACCTTCTAGACGAAAGTAAAAACAAAATATAAGAGCTGCATTATTATATATAGGTGTACTGGTAACATGCCACTTATTTCAAGATGTTGACGTCAAACATCGTTTATTGCCTCTCATTGTTGATATGTGAGGAATATACAGACTGGGTTGTTTGTTTCGTGGCGATTCTTTAACTTTGAAATCCATTGTTCGCAGGTATGATACTCTTTGATGCTAAGTGAGATGTCATATAACTTAACGCGCTTTGGTAAACATCCGCAGTTTATGGGTAACAAAACAACTCTAATAGAAATCGACAACACGTTCACAAAAGCTGCCAATCAATAAGTTTTTGAAAGGCTCAGGCTGGGGCTACGTGTCTTACACTAAGCATCTGTTGTTTGCGGTTGAGAAGCTGACCTTTGCACGCACTAGACACCCAGCCTGTCCAACAACACATGTGAAAACACATGACTGAACTGGGACAGAAGTCCACTGTACAGTAAAGAGAGGGGGGAGGGGGCGAGAAACTACAGCAAAGTTTGAATCTGTATCTGTATAGCCGGTATAACCGACCTTTGGCGTAACACACCAGCTTCGCACGCACGCACGCACGTAGCGCGGCGGCAGCTGGCTATATGACACCGAACGACTTGTATTGTTACACCTAACCTTTGCACATCTAGTGATGCTGCCTATACTGTACTTGGTGGTAGCGAGTTCCGCTACGATAGTTCTAGTAGGAGGGAGCTAGTTAATACTTCTGTCATCACAACAGCATTCTAGTCATATGTTGTTGTTGCTGTTACGTTATTACGAGGAAAATCTTGGCACTCGGAGTTGGTACCAAAACTCACCTGACTTTCCGTAAGGGAGCGGGAGGTAAAAACGGAAACCGTTTGAAATTCGTGTCAGCCTTCAACTTCAGGAGGACTGTATACGCGGACAGGGTCAAAGCCAGAAACGTCAGCCAGCACTTTCGGCATAAGTTCGTCATACACCGCCTTCTAATACCCTTTGAATGGAGGGAGGGGCAAATTGACCCCGCTTCAGTTCAAGGGACGGGTACTAATATGGCCACTAGCCAGAATGAATTAGCTGCAATGACGCGTGGCACTCGCCAGGTGACGTTGGCACCAGGTCATAGTTTGCGGAGTTACTCATTGATCGAAAGGGCTTTGAACAAAACGTTAATCGTTAACAAGGCTGACGTAAATAGCACAGTTACTATAATTTACGTGGCACAGTTTCCTCACACGATGCCTTTTGTTTCCTGGTTGCTTGTTGTCATTATCAAGTAATCCATTCCTTCGAATTGCATTGAAACAAGTGGTAAAAGTAACTGAAAGTTACTCGATCTAGCTTTGAGGCATTTCAGAACTTCATATGCTTTTTTTTTAGAGAGGAAACATGTGTTTGTGTATGTGGGGGGTCTACATTTGTCAGAAGTGGGAAAGAGTAGTCAAATACTCCATGCAATAAGGAGTAATGTACCAGACATCAAACAAACAAATAGACGGGTTATCTGCGGCCTCAATTGTGGCCAGCATTGTGAGGTTCTTATCAATCTAACAGACTGTAATGCAATGGGTAACAAAACAACAGGACCCTCACCTACCTGTCTATCTATCCTCTGCAATTACATCACCCCAGTTGTACCAGATAGAACCTTTAGTTCTATGCCTGAAGTGGTGAAAGTTAGGATCAGACACATCTGTGGAAAGTCTCTGCATATCCAAGAACGTAGGTTTGTCGCAGGCACGGTTCTTGATACGCGTGGACTGCATGTCTAGAACCGTGCCTGAGCATCGTTCTGGATAAAGCACAGCTCTGGATATAACGC